GGTGAAGTGTCTGTTCATATCCTGTGCCCATTTTTCTATTGGATTATTTACCTTTATCTTGTTGTGGTGCTCAAGTATTTTATAAATTCTGGATATAAGTCCCTTATCTGATATGTCATTACCAAATGCTTTTTCCCAGTTGGTGGCTTCCCTTTTTACCCTGGTGGAAAAGTTTTGGGATGTCGAAATACCCCTCTTTATCTTGGTGATTTCTTGGCTTCTTAAACCCCTTTATTTAATACTGACAACAATTTACAGTTTCATTTTATTATGATCTTTCCCCCCTATTCTTCTACCTGTATCATAACATTTATCTTTTTTGTAAATAGCATATACGATCAGGATTTTGTTTAATTATTGCTAAATTAGATGAGATACATTTTTCCCATTGGTTTGATAGTTATGGAACTAGTTGACAGATATTTGAATCATTTAAGGAATAACTGAAAGTTACATGTAGACAATGAAAAGCTATGAATACAGTTGGGAGTTCTATGTGCTTGAGTGAGCACTACCAGAAAATAATACAGAGACTTAAATATCACTTTGGGAAGTGATGCATTTCACTACTATTCACTTTTCATTTAAAAAGCACTTAAGATACTATACATTGGGAACCTAGAAGGAAGAATTAAATCCCAGGTTTACAAGAACAGATAGGAGAAAAAGATCAGTAGGCATAAGGACTTGAAGTACCACTGAGATGGGTCACCTTGATGGAGATGTCCAGGTAGTTGCATAAGATCTACAGTATGAGGTATTGACTATTTCTTTCTGTAAAAGTAAGGGAGAAGGCTGAATGACTTGAAGAAAAATAATTTTAAGATTTTAATGCTAATTTGTCACATTGTTGAAATCTATGTTACAAGGAACAAACGTATTCAGCAGATAAATGTCAGAATATGCATTGGGATCCTTAAAATAATATATTTAACTAGATTTCCAAAACTTATTAGAAAATAATAAAATTCACAGTTACCTTAAGGATAATAGCATGACATTTCAGTTTACAACCATCATGAAAATTCCCTGATGGTAGTAGTGATGTAGTCATTTACTGAGTTAAAACTATACCATTTGAATATCCTTTCTTTCTTGAAGAAGTTAGGTGAAAAATAAGCTATTATATGAACATTTCAAATAAGACTTATGCCAAGCAATTTTCATTAGAGAAAGTCACAAATAAGCTATTCTGTTTATATGTTGTTGTTTGCTGTTAGGTGCCGTCGAGTCGCTTGCGACTCATAGCGACCCTA